GGCCCCAGGAGGAGCCTCGGTGCCCGGAGGGAGCTGGCGAGGGTGCGCGTGTGTAGGGAGTGGCGAGGGAAGGGGTGGGAACGGGCTCGGTGCTGGGGCCCTCCTTCCGTCCAGCCCCCTGCTAGAGCAGGGTCACCAGAGAGGATCACTCAGGAACATGGCCAGGGGTTTGGGTGTCTCCAGAGAAGGAGACTCCACAACCTCTCTGGGCAGCCTGGGCCATGCTCTGGCACCCTCACATCAAGAAGTTTTTTCCTCATGTTTCAGTTGCACCTCTTGTGTTCCAGTTTGTGACCATTGCCCCTTGTTCTGTGGCTGGGCACAACCGAGCAGAGTCTGGTCCCATCCTCCTGACCCTCACCCTTGAGATATTGATGAGCATTAATGAGATCCCCTCAGTCTCCTCTTCTCCAGGCTGAACAGCCCCAGCTCTCTCAGCCTTTCCTCATTTGGGAGATGCTTCGGTCCCTCATCATCCCAGTGGCTCTGTGCTGGGCTCTTTAAAGTTGTTCCTTGTCCTTCTTGAACTGGGGGCCCAAAACTCGATGCAATATTGCAGGTGTGGCCTCACCAGGGCAGAGCAGAGAGGGAGGAGAACCCCCTCAACTGACTGGACACACTGTTCTTAATGCACCCCACTTAGCAGGTGTGTGATGGTGTGCCTGACAAACTTAATGCTTTTTGGGTTAATCGGTCATGTGAAAAGAAAAATAAAGTTCTATACATTTTGTTATTAGCTTAGTACATTGTAAATCATACCCTTAATAAATTCGCAATATAGTTACAGTATGTTTCCAATGAAGTTTGTCGTGGGTTTTTTTCCCCACGCGTTTTTCTTTAGTTAGGGCAGTGTAAGAAACTTTGAGGTGGTGTTTCTTTAAAAACAGAAGTTGAATGGGAAGTCCTAAGATGACAGAGATGCTTTGGTTTTACAAAAATACTAAGGCTTGTGGGTGGTGTATGTGATGGGATGGAGTTATGCTGACCAAAAGTAATGAGACAGTTTCTTTGCAGTTTCCTATAGGAAACTTTTTTAACCTGGTGGGTGCAAGGCACCGTCTTACACTTACTTCTGAATCTCAGCTTATTAAAACAAACTAAAATGACCTTCAAAGTCTAAGTGAATCCATTTGTGTATTTTCATTTATAGCTTTCAGCCAGAGATCAACTTCTTTCTGTCTTTATTCTTTGAATGTGATGCATTCTGGCTGGGGCCCATTATCAGCACTACAGTGGAAATAGTAACCACTTGTTGCAATTATTGCAGTGCAGTCCTTCAAAGTTACTATATATTTGATAAGAAGTTTCAGTTTACTGCTGAAAGCTTCATTTTACTCTTTTTTAAATTGAATTGTTTGTTGAATTTTCCTGAAACACTATTTTTTTCCCTGGACACTGTTGAAGTGAAATGCTGGTTTAATTAATTAAGCTGTATTATCAAAAAAAAGAAATTTTCCTTTCTCTTAGTTGCTGTCACAAACTTCAGCTAAAGACAAAATGCCCTCTAGAGGGAGATCTTGATGCTGTTATGTGCTAAAATGTTAGTCACCTTGTTCCTCTAAATGTCTTGATCGTTTGCCTCGGGAAGGGTCTGTGATGATGAATATGTGTGGTGTGATAGGAACCCGTCTTGGTCTCTGCTTGGAAATTTCCTTACAGAATGCAGACCCTCGCCCGTAATAGAACATTTCTGTAGGTCAAATAAAACATGCTTAATTCAAATAGATCTAATTCTGAAGTTAAATGAGTAATCTTTACAAGTTCCAGTGTGCTACTCCTGCAGTAGTATTTGTAGGACCTACCTTTGTGGCATCAATTCTGTAATTGCTTACATTGCTCCTGACTTCACACAGCATCCTCATTTTAATCAAGCTGCTTTTGAGGGCAGTCTCTGCACTGACCTACCCCAAGAATTTCAGCAGCTGATCTGAAAGTGTTGTGGGTTAAATTGCTTTAAATTGCACTAAATGAGTGCTAACAGCTGGGCAAGGAAACAAAGCAGAAATAAAAGGTCAATTGAATAAATTTTAGCAGTTGAAGGAGAGCGGTACTTTTTGACTACAAACAGCAGAGGTTAAAAGATTATTTTTGCAGACACATCAACTGTTTGAATGTAGTTTAGTTGAAAGTTTATTCCACAGTAAGTAAGGCATCCGTGGTCTTGTTTTTCTGTAAGTGCGTGCAAACAGTGAATTCAGTGCAGCCTCGGGCATAATTCTGTTCTGTGAAGCTCAGGGCTGTGTGGAACTTGTTCCGTGGATATAGTTGGAAAATTTCCTCACAGTGTGAGACTGCTGAACGAGTTCAAAATACATTGACTGTTTTAGTTGCTAGTTGAACCCCTTCATACATCTGTAACGTTAAGAAATGGGTATTGTTAGATTGACTCCAAAATAGTTTAAATATTTATATTCTTAAAAATGTACATCCCGAGCCACTGCATAATTATTTACTCTCTTTCGTGTGTAAGTGCCACTTCAAGTAAAGTTAAAGTGATTTGCAGTACTTAGGTTGCAAGTTTGTTTCCCTTTTCAAACTCATTTTCATTGTTTTGTGGTATGCAAATGCATCTCTGCAATGCATTAAAAATGTATGCGAAGCGCTTGGAGGCAAATGGTGTTGCATAATTGAATGCACAGATGTGTTATAATAGAAGAATAAATCCCATTAATAAACAGGAATAAAAGTTACGGCTTTTTTATTTTTTTTTTAAAGAAAAGCATATTCATATCCTTAAGCTACTCAAATTGTAGGCTGTGATAAATTGTGCTCTGAATAATGAATTCCTTGTTGTAGATCATCGTTTTGGAGGATTCCAGCACCGTGATTTCTGGAGCCTGCTGTGTCTAGCCATAATGAGTTCGTCGCTGGTTGCTTACGATGATTCAGACTCAGAGGCAGAAACTGAAAAGGCTGAAGTCCCCACTACTTCCAGCAGCCAAACAAGCTTCCCAAGTTCATCTGTGGATTGTCTTCAGTTCTCTGCACCTGGTAGTTTGGGTACAAAATCTACATATGAAACACAGCCCACTGAGAGCACTGGCAGTTCTGGCACAAGCGCTGTTTGCGAAGATGCCCCTGGGCATTATGCACAGAATAATAACGCTGATTTGACATCTCCTTATTGCAGGAGAGCGTACTCTGGCCATGCTGCATTATGTATGTCCTACAGAAACTACGAACAGACAGCAGGCTCTTCAGCAAACTCTGGATATGGCACTTCCCAGAAGAGGATACATAAAGACAGTACTGCTGCCATAAAAGGAATTAGACCATATATCCCTAAAAGATTGCGTCAAGAAAATTCCAGTATGCCCGAAAATAGAGAATCGGATCAGAGAGAGAGCTCAGATTGCAATGTTAAGCTGGACGTAACAGGAGAGCAGCCTTCCAGAAAGATCTCTGACTTAATTAAGCCATATTTGGGATCCAAATATAAATCGTCTGAAGTCCCCAAAAGCTTAATATTTTGCATGTCTAAACACAGTGGCCCTGTTAATGAAATCCAGTGGTGTCCTGTACGAGAACAGAGTCACTTGCTTCTCTCGGCTTCTATGGATAAAACAATCAAGGTAATGTAAAACCAAGTGCTCTGTGGACCAACCACCAAACTTCAAAATACTGTCTTGAATAATGAGTAACACCCTTGCTTGTGTGTATTTAACAGCTCCAAAGTAGCCAGAAAGGTGTCCTGTCATATCTCAGGAGTCTTCCCACTTTAAGTTTGTTTCAAGAGTTAATTACTCAAAATATTTTTTCCTTCTAGCTTAGGTGAATTTGGCTTCAGTTCTCTGTTAATTTAGTCACTCCAATGAGTCTTACTTTATTTTTAATGATGAATGATAGAAATATTTTATGTGTATGCTTTCCCAATTATAGGGCTAATGCCACGTCTGGGTTCAAGTAATTGCCTTCAAGAGTGGGTTTACACAGGAACATAGGTTTGACGAGAGCGCACAGAAAGCGTCCTTTATGGTGGAAGGCGTGCCTGGCTGTATCTCACTTGTATTTAATGCAGCAGGTACAATTATTTTAAAAGTTGGTTCTAAAATTTCGGGCTGTAAGTAAATCTTACTGAGTGAAGAGGAAGGAAGAACACACTTTGTATCGGCATACTTCTAAAATTGAAGGAGAGGAGGGAACTGTAAAACTGAATTTGACTTCTGATTTCATGTAGGAAAAAAGATTCTAAAATTCTTATTAAAACAGATATTTTTTAAAGAGTCTTTTGCTGTTTAATTTGTAGTGGAGACTTGGAGAACTGAGCTTCATTTAGTTTGGATTTGTATATGATTTTTCTTCTCTCGGGTTTTTTTTCCCTTTCCCCATGGGGCCCTGTGAAATATGTGCTGACTTTGCATCTTTGAAGCAGGGATGTTCTTGACTCTTGGACAGAGTCTGTGCTTTTTTCTGTTAAAGCGTAGAAGAGAAAACCCTAGATCCATAGCATGAATAAAATTTACTCCTCTCAATTGCTTATCTTTTCTTCTCTTAAATTTTAATGACTTTACTGGTTCTGTAGTCAGGATAACCTGTCACACTGTCAAAGCCTGAGTACTTTGAACTGTGGGTAATTCCTCCTACATCATCTTCCCAAAGCTTTTTTTACTTCCCTGTCTTAAAGATTTAAGTGGAGGATAAAAAGTACCTTTGCTTTTCTTTGCAAGTGTTCTTTAATATATTGAATAAGTTAAATCTTGGTGGCTGCTTGGAGAACAGACTTAGAAGGGAAAGACTGAGACAAGCAAAAATTGCTGATGGATGTTTCTGGTAAGCAGCAATTTAAATTTGGGTTGTACAAAACCATACGCGCTTCTGACTTCAATATATCTGAATTGGACTTCTTGTCTTCAACTGTCACACCGTGTACTTAAGGGTTGTTTACTATCCCAGAGCCTCATTTCACTGATAGGTGAAATTACGGATGTGTTAGATTTGGTAAATTAATCTAAAATGAAAGTTGTTGCTGCAATGTAAAACTATTAAAAAGAATGTAAATAATAGCCTGTCAGTTTTGTCTTCTAAGCAGAAAGAAAGGTTATTTTATTTTCTAAAGTGGGGTTACCACCCCTGATTGGAAGCAGTCTTTAAAGCTGATTTTTGATGAAATCTACTTGCCTTAGGTGCCCCAAACCGTAGAAATTCAACATAGAGAGTGTTTAATGTTGGCAACACTTCGTGTGTCTAAAAAATTAACAAAGTAATAATGTGACTTACAAAGTGTATTAAAACACTTCTGTATTTTGGAAGGCAGCCTGTAGAGAAATACCTGTGAGTGCTTTTTGCTGTTACCTCTTGATGCGGTCAGAGCAGTCGCACCCGCAAGGTTTGTACCCTCAGCCAGTCCTCCCTCTCCCTCACTCCACGACTGGTCGGTAGAGGGCATGGTTACCTCGAGTACTGACTGTGTCACAAAACCAACGCCACTGACTTTTAGGGCCCATAAATCTCTGATGTCTGTGGCAGCAGTAGTTTTATCTGCTGGGGATTTTTTGGATGGCTACCATTGCCTGAAGTTCTCGGTTTTCTGGCGTAAGCATAAAGTAACTGATTTAAAATGCAGATGTAGCTGTACTCTTCTCTTTTCCCCAATCCTGTACCTTCCTACAAGTTACTTTTTTCATTCTTTTCTTCCCAAAACACCTGCTTGGAGTTGCTACTTGAAATCCAGGCAGTAGAAGGGAGTTTTCTTTAATGGGAATATGCAGACACCCGGGATATTTGCGCTACTTACTTTAAACATCCAATTCGAATAAAACTCAAAGCACAGCTAGAACATAAAATCCCTGTATGACCAGAGTAGGCAATCTAGAGCCTCAAAACTCCGTTCTTTCAGTTATTAATGTGAATAACTGGCATTGAATAATTTTATGTGTAAAATATCTTGGAGTCAGTCCTTGCATTCAGCCTATGCACGAAGACTTTTATCTTTTGAGGTGTCCAATATTAGTGGAGATTTCTCAGAATTAGGACTTCTGCCTAAGCAGGTCTGACTTACTGTGGTAGTTGAGGTTGTGCTTCAATCAGAAGATCTATAGTTGTATGCATTTTTGGGAGTAATTAGCCAAAGAGTTTCACATCTCTTATCTGTTCTTATGTACTTAAATATTTTCCTCTTAAATTTTTCATCGCAAACTAAGAATTTCCCTTTTTGGGAAAGGATTTTCTTTTTTGGCGTGGAGAAGGAAGAAGTACTTGGTTTTGTTATCTCAATTTAGTGATCTTAATTTCCTTACTCCCATCTCAATTACTGTGACTAAATCATGCGTATCACACAGGGATATATCTAATATGTTTATATAGAACTGATTATGTGGTTTCTTACTTTTTAAATCTGTTGAAATCAGGGAGAAAGAACAATCTTCCTTTTATGTTCTCCCCAATTGACCAACATGCCCTTTACCACCTTCTTTATGAATCACTGTAAGTCTGATTTTAAAATTTTGAATTTTTAAATAAATGTTTGCAAAAAATGGGTCGATGTTTTCAGCTTGCGTTGACTGGAGAACAGCCGAGTGTCAGGGAAGGTTGTCTGAAGCAGTTTGTGCAAGTATCTTGCGTATTTAAGGAGCAATTTTGAATCGCATCTGGAATATTGTGTCCAGTTCTGGCCCCTCAGTTCAAGAAGGACAGGAACTGCTGGAGAGAGTCCAGCGTAGGGCTACAAAGATGATGAAGGGAGTGGAGCATCTCCCTTCTGAGGAGCGGCTGAGGGAGCTGGGGCTCTTTAGTTTGCAGAAGAGGAGACTGAGGGGAGACCTCATTCATGTTTATAAGTATTTAAAGGGTGAGTGTCACGAGGATGGAGCCAGGCTCTTCTCGGTGACAAACAATGATAGGACAAGGGGTAACGGACACAAACTGGAACACAGGAGGTTCCACTTAAATTTGAGAAGAAACTTCTTCTCAGTGAGGGTGACAGAGCCCTGGCCCAGGCTGCCCAGAGAGGTTGTGGAGTCTCCTTCTCTGCAGACATTCAAAACCCGCCTGGACGCCTTCCTGTGTAACCTCATCTGGGTGTTCCTGCTCCGGCAGGGGGATTGGACTGGATGAGCTTTGGAGGTCCCTTCCAATCCCTAACGTTCTGGGATTCTGTGATTCTGTAATTTAATTTAATTTAAAGTATTTGCTTTCAATTTTTTTGTGTATGGCTGCATGTGAAAAACCCCAAGCAGGTATCAAGTGGTACAGTTGAAAAAATCGGTGATCATGGGTGTAATTCTTAGAGTAACGCTTCTGTCAGCAGATGGGGCTCCTCAGCACCTGAGAAGGGAATGGTCCCTGCACTGTGCCTCCGAAAACTGGAAGTCTTTAATTTTACCTTCACCAAAGAATTTTGAAAGTGTTGAAAGTGCTGCAAAACGTGTAAGAAAACTTCATAGAGACCTGAAAATAAGATAGGACCTGACCTGGGAAGTGGTGTGTGTTGCAGAGTAATTACCCACAGTTCTTCAAATCTGGAGCATTAATAGAGGAATATTTCATGTGAAATTTTAAATTCATAAGAAATGAAAAGGCTTAGACTTAGGCTTTCACAAGTCTTTTACCCTCTGTTTTCTTAGGATTTTCAGCTTCCCCTTTGGAAGGAGAGTTGGTTTTGGAGTTCTTCCAGCCTGGGTAGCTGGAGAAAGGGGCAGGAAACCTGGTTCAAGTCAGGGAAATTACTGATAGGAGTTCTTGCTGTGGCAGTGCTCTTCTTCACTATTAACTTCTGTTACTTTAGAACTATTATCAGTGGCTTATATTTCTAGTTTAAATATGTATGGTAAAGATTTTGAAACGTGGTTGTCTGCACTGATTAAATCTGTTTTCCGTGGATAACACTTCCCTGCCTTCTGTTTGAGTAGCTGCTGTAAATGAAATTTTTAGGCTACTATTGCCAGTTTTGGTTTTGCTACTGTAATACAGAAACAGCGTTTGGGATTTTAGTGTCTTGTCTTGTATCTTTTGCATAAATTTTGAGACTCAGCACTGTTATCAAAGGTGCCTATTTTCCATAGTGTGGCTATCCAGTACTTTCTGAACATCGGAACTGGTGTCTGGTTTAGAACCCCAAGTATCAAATCCAGAATCACAGGTTACCATTGAATGCAGCTGTTTTTCTGATGTAGCAGGGTAGATAAAATTTGGCTCTTGAAAGTCACAGTTGTGAACTGCAGAAGCCACTATGATGCATTCACATTGTGAGTGTCTTTTATTTGGAAGGTCTCGTAATTGCATAGAGCCACAGAGAATGAAACATTTTCTCTGCTTACTGATACTGGACTTAACTTTCTACCAATTGTTCATAACTTGAAGCCTCCCACACCATTATTCTGTATTTCCTAGTTTGTCTTAAAATTAACTCAAGGTAACTTAATTATATAGTAATTTGTACTGTATAGTAATCTTTTGATTCTATTCCTGGTTTTCTATTTAGAGCACCACAGCAGATATTCTATTTGTTGCAAAGTATTTCTTAATTTTGAGCACTTGTACCCTCCATTGATGAGCACGATCAAGGCAAGAAAGGACTGTGATTCTTTGGTATGAAAAATATATGTTAATAGCACTTTGGTGGCATGTTGTAACA